GAAGATAATTGGAACCTTTAAAGTAATCTTTGCGAAAATAAAATTTTTGGCGTCAAAAGTAATGTGTGCCTAATTATAAAATAAATATCCAGGTGAATTTTCCGAAACATACCCCTAGGCACGAGGTCTTCAGCAGACTTCCCTACAGCTACAGGGACAAAGCCCACTGGTTGATGTAATGTTTTTTTTTTTCAAACATTTTAGAGGCATTTTTCTTTTTTTTATCATTATCCTCCAATTAATAACAGTACTTAGGTACGAGACAAGCTCACAGTCGCAATCTTATTTTCAATCCAAGCCAATATATCGTGCTTTTTCCGCCCTTTCTCCTCTCCATTTTGTATTGTGCATTATTTCTCCATGGAAAAAGGGAAGGAAGGATGAATGTCGATGTCAGGTCTGAAAAAAAATTGTTCTCCATATCAGTATCGGTGATAACATGATTTCGAGTGCAATTTTGTGTTAATAATTTGCATGGAAAAAGCATCCTAGAAAGTGAAGACAGAGGATTTTTGACAGCGCGCGCGTTATTTGTAATTTGAACTCGTGTTACAACTTTGCACTCGTGTGACATGAAAAATGCACTCGCTTAAAGCCAATCAGAAGCGCGTAATTTTTACATATACATCACTAGCGCTTTTACTGATGTCAACGTTGTCAGCTTTCTTAATATTTGACCATACGTATCATTTCTTTTAACTTGCGAACGTATTCGCCTAACTTTTCAAATAATCCGCACTGAAACTTTTAGGATGTCATTCAAGTTGTTGAGAAGAAGTGGAACAGGTGGCAGGAAGAGGAAAAATTGGTGAGAAACAGCCGACTTTCACACGCAGTGAGTCACCTTCATAAACCACTATTCCAGGAGTACATAAAAGCAAGTATCCGGCTGACTTGGAGAATGGTTACCCAGACACCACCACTTAGGTTAGAGTATCAATCCTTGTACCTACAACAGTGCCATAAGAAGATGGGTTATCATATGAGTCCTGAGTTACGTACATTGGTGGAAGGAACCCCTGACCAACATCAGGAAGAGGAGATAGCGTGTTATCTTTGGCCGGGACTGTTTGATGGGGAAGGAAGATGTATTCGAAAAGGAGAAGTCTTGTGTAGGATAAAAGGGAATACTGAGTAAGCTTCTATTGAAATTCTGCTACCAATAACTAAAGCAAAAGCTCATATCTATTTTGGAGACTGCTTTAATGTTCAAAATCCTGTAAAATATTTTTTTATTTACGCCACGCTCCTAATGTAAATGAGGGACATGAATCAGGTCGATTCATGATCGAAATAAGTGCCATCGGTGTACCCAGGGGTAGACTTGACCCTCGTTTAGCGCATCGAGCCAAAGGTTCGCAAATTCCGAAATAATTAAATTTATCCGTATTGCAGTGACTCATTTAAACCACCTCTCTCTATATGTAAGTCAAGTCGCCTGGTTTTTACCAGTCAGTTTTGTCAACGTACAAATATATTTTTTGGTCTTACTACTGATGTTAAATACAATCGAAAGTGACGGTTTCCTGTGGAGAACCTCGAGGCGATTGAAGACCTTGTTTCTGGCGCACAGCTGTTTTCAAACGAGGCATTCATCATTTTTAGAACCAGCATGTTTACCTAACACGAGGATCCTTCTTTGCAAAAGCGCCGAATTCGTGTAACTATGTTGATGATACAAGATATACTGATCAAAGCAATGATTTCTAGTTTTTGCGAGAGCATGTATTTGAGTTATTTTCGTTTTCAATCAAACGCGTGGCAAGATGAGGGTGTGATATTTTTTCTCTCACAAGTCTCACAATGAAGAAGGTGCAAGTTTTTTTTTATTTATCTTTTGCAAAAAAAAGCAGGTCCTGTTTAAAAGTAAGTCTCTCTCATTAAAAAATATCAGATTTTTACAGCGGATTTTAACAATCTTTGTTAAAAGTAAGGAGCTGTCAACAGCTTCTCCAAATTTTCGTAGAGAGCAGGCGCTGGCGCACAGCTGTTTTCTAGCAAAGCGCTTACTTTCTGGAACCAACAAGTCTACCTAAGAAGAGGATTCCTGTTTTACAAAAGCACAGAATTCTTGCAACGATGTTGATCACACAAGATGTACTGATCGAGGAAATTATCTCTAGTTTTTGAGAGGACATCTATTTTGAGTTATTCTCGTTTTCAGTTAAACGCGAGGCAAGACGAGAGTGTGATATTTTACTCACAAGTCTCACAATGGAGAAGTTGCGAATTTTTTGTTTTTCGTTTGTTCTATATTCTCTTTCGGAGAAAAAAAAGCAGGTCTTGCTTGTCAGAGCTTATATAGTTTTACGACGGATTCAAACAGTCTTTATGAAAATTATAAAGCTATCAACAGTTTTCCCAAATATTCCCTTTGTAGAAAGCGGACGTTAGGACTTTATGTTTGTTCTCAATCAACCGAGGCGGCATTTAACGAATCAAGGGGTGTGATTTTTTTCGCGTGTTAAGTTTTTGCTGGGCTTATGCATTTACGCTACGGTAAGCAAATTATTGGAGGCGATTGCGCAGCGCTTTATGCAAACTAAGAAAATAGGATAACTTTCGTAGCGCGAAATTCGATTGCCCTAAAATTTGGTAGATAAATCTGACAGCGTCAGTGATGTGATTGAATACACGTAACCTGTTGAGCAAAAAAAAAAGGAAGAAACTAGCAGAACATGACTATGCGAAAAAATCTCACCTCCTGTTATCACACAAAAGGATGAATAGGTATCAATTTGATGTCGGTTTGTGTAAACACAAAAAAATTGTGGGAGGAGATTATTCAGTTTTTCTTGCTTACGAAGCGCGAAATTTAAACACACTCGGATTGAACAGTCGAGTCGAATGGGAGAAATTGACGAGCGTGTGCGACTATTTCCACTCGCCATTGTTTTTTAACTCCTTTCGTTGAATTGAAATACGGAAAGAGAAAGATACCCGTAAAACTACATGAATTAACGACGCGCGATGCTTCGGACGTTATTACCAGGTTTAAATCACACGCTAGAGGAAGGAGAATATGAACCTTTTTGTGCACATCAGGAACAAAATCTCATTCACGCTGCGCGAAATTTAAATACCCGCACATTAAACAATCGAGCAAATGACGATACATGATTCAACGGCGTGATAGGCTTCGGACGTTAATACCAGGTTACACATGCTCTCATCACCTTTGTATCGCACAGTGAGCCTCTAATTAAATATATATCTTTCGCCGGTTTTAAGCAATGTAAAGGAAAAAGCGGTGTCATTTCTTTACTTCAGATACGAAAGCTACAGTCGCCCCACCATCCACCCCACGGTGACTATTTGCTTCCTAAAAGATCTACCATAATCACCCCCACGGGGAGGATTTGTCGTATCATCAGTTTTGCCGATGGTTTAAATCTACCGCTCGTATGATAATCGGAAATTTGAAAAAACCCGCGTGTATTTTAAAGCTGTTTCCGCCATTGTTCCAAAGTAGCCATATACGGTCATTGTTAATCGTTAAACAAAGCCTGCTCAACTTTCAGCTGATCCGCTTTTCTTGATACGTGGGTTTTCTGACATAAAATGACCTCTTATATTTAGTGTTACCTGTGACATTACTATAGAAGGAAGGAAGTCTGAAAAATAAATGATAACAGATGGAGTCGAATGTAGGCGATTAACAATAAGTGTTCATTTTGTCAGTTATGCACGTACTATTTTATTTCGTTTACAGGTCAAATCATTAACATGTCTTTACATGAACATTTTTTCCTATTGATGTTAGATGAGAGCATTTGCTCAGAAACTAAATCGCTTGTATATTAAGTAGTTAAAGCTTTTTTTCGAGTTGGGGTGGTCAAACTAAAGAAATAGAGAAAACTGTTGAAAAGATTCCCCCTAGTTAAACATCTATTATTTAACATCTATCTTAAAGGCTAAGGCTTTCCTTGCAATTGTTCTTGAGCGAGTGATTGACTTCAAATTTAAACTACAATATATATTTTAGTTTTGTAAGCAATGTCAATTCTGGTATTGTGAGAAACGCTAGGTTTTGTTAATTGTTAGCAATCTATTATAACAAAAAAAGTTTTCATTCAATATTTTTATTAAAAAAATAACGCACACTTGCACAATAGAAAATAATAGTTTCATGGCTACAGATCACCGAGCATTCGCGCCTAGCAAGCAATCGATTAAAATATGTCTAAACAACATATTTAAACATTGTATCTATGCTGAGTGGGCACTTGTCTGCTTTCCCTCTTGCACTTCATATATTTACCCTCAAATAAACGAAGACTTAACAATCACTAGCATTTTTTTATTGTTATTGGTGCTTACTATGATGAACAATTAAAGGGATTGACTACTTTTGGGAGTCACACAATTCTTGAAAAGTCTTACAAGGTAAATCACATTGCTTCTCCAACTAGACTTCCTCACTGATTACTGGGGGGGTGCACGTCTTGGAATTGGTTTTTTTATGATCATGGTCTGATTATTGTCTAAGATCTGTCTTAGATCTCTGTCTTTCATTACAGAAAAAAAATACGTTCATGATCGACGGAAAAAGTCCAAGGTGGTTTGGGCGCTGTACATATTCTGACTACACTCAGGCGAGATATTCAATGTGAAAGTTTATTTAGGATGAGTCAGCCAGTCTTGTAGTCTACACTTCCTACTAGAGCCAAAGAAAGGGAAATACTAAGTTAAAGGTAAACGCTACAGAATTAAATACCTAACTTTTTTTTGACAAACGAGAACTTAAATTATCATCAACATAGCCATTTTTGGCGGAAACAGATTTCCAACGCCCGTGCCTCTGAAAGACTTTGTCGAGAACACCAGCATTAGCTGCAGCTGAAGAACCACCAGCTCTTAAAGAAGGTGTGCTGAATAGAGAAATATCTGGAACAATATCCTTTAAGCTAAACGGCTTGTTTACAGATACTAGTCTTTGACCTAATTTAAACTTATACAAAGCCCTAAAGACATAATGGTCTGCCTCAAATGAAAACTTTTCAACCTCTCTTAAATAACGCCTGAAACTGTTTACAGGGCAGGTAGCAATATCGGAGCCCTCGAAAAATTTCAACTTGGCTTCCTTTCCTAAGTTGATCTGTCTTACTTCTATTAACGTTGATAGTTAGGTAGTCACTATGAAAACTAATCTCTCCATATCTAATATGAAGAACCTCTTCAATTCGGAAGAAACCAGCGAAAGTGAGAATAAAAATACACACATTTCGTAACTCAAGTAAATTATCTAGGTTGGATTTTTCAACAAGCTTCCTTATCATGTCTGGAGAAACCGGCTCTTTCTTATTACAAACGCGAGTTCCCATTATTCTCTTAGCGGCTCTGCTAACTGCGTGGATGATCAGGCTGTCTGTAGGGGAAGGTAAACCCGCCAAATGGTGTGCCCACTGTATTCTAAATATGGCAGAGTCGACCGCCGAGTGGGAATGAGTATTATCCAGTAAATGCTGTAAGTATAACGCCACATGCTCTGACTTTGCAGGAAAAGCACAAATTTCCCTCTTGGAACTGGCGAACACTCCTATAGGCGTCGGTGGTACCTGGTGCTCTTGACGCAATGACAGTTGACTCCAGTCTAGACGCAAGACTTCTCAGTGACGGGTCACTCAACTCGTCAAGGCACTGCCACACGCCATGATTGAACACATCTGAAAAGAGAAAAACAAACCAAAAAGGCAAACAAGTAGTACGAACGATGGCATTTAAGATCTGAATGGGGTCGAATCCTTGAGAATACGATAGTGAAGTCACACTCACTGGGACTGTAAACACAACATAGCTGCGCCGTCTCTAGTGTAAGCTCTCTGAACAAGAAACTAATGGAGGATAAAAATCTCCTTAGCACCCAGACTGCGATTATTATTAACCTCAATACCATTCTGGTCGACCATAGCGCGAAACAAGATATTCAAATGCTCTTGGCAACACCGAGGGGTACACATTTAATCTAGTACTACATCGTCGTGTCTCCCTACGCGAAAAACAAAGAAATGATAAAATTATGAAACAATTCTCCTAACCACGGATGATGCAGATCATAGATACCGCCAGGGTAAACACTTTTCTGTGTAAATTCGGGCACCGGGGGCCCCCAACATAAGCAATACACAAACCTAACATAATATGTAAGTCCATAAGTGATTGCATCTAAACAATCTAAGTATTCCCACACATTGCGATTGTTGGCAGGCAGCCAAACAATGGCAAATGTATAACTCCGCCAAGGAGCGTATTTCACACAATAGCCAAACGCCACCGGGGGACCACGGAAAGCGCACTCCGAAATCCGTCAGAAGGAGGTCATCTCGGGTAGATTTCCGATTACGAAATCCGAGCTCGCCCGATGTTGTCTTCGTGATGAAGGCCCTATTTAGCATATTAGACCCACAAAATAGAGTAGAAAAGAACACGTGCTTCGTTTTCGCTCATGACTTCGTATTAGCGTTAAGGTATTTGCATTTTTTTCCGTTGCTTACCTATATTACAGACTCCAAAAAATTTTTGCGATGCCTCCTTTTCACGGATGGCCGATCACATCTACAACATAGTGACACCTTCATGAAATCTGGCAAAAGGAGGATGTTAAAACACCAGAGGTCATCTCGGGTAGATCAGTCTGATGACGAAATCCGAGCTCGCCTGATGTTGTCTTCGTGATGAAGGCCCTATTTCGCATTTTAGAGCCGCACAATAGAGTAGAAAGGAACACTTACTTCGTTTTCGCTCATGACTTTGTATTAGCGTTAAGATATTTGCATTTTTTCCGTTGCTAACCTATATGACAGATTCCACAAAATACATTTGACGCCTCGTTTTCACGGATGGCCGATCACAACTACAACGTAATGACATCTTCACCAAATCTGTCAAAAGGAGGATTTTAAAACACCGGAAATAATGTTTTAAATACGAATTATCTTCGCACGAAATACGGAATTGTGAACAGAAATACCTTTTCTTAAATAAAGCTTTTCAGATAAAACATCTAGGTATATGGTAAACTCAGTTAAAGCAACCACGCCCAAAACTACTAAAAATTTTCTGGATTTCTGATGAAATAAATTTAACGCAATTACGTTCAGAGTTTGAGCGATATATTGTTATTTCTGATATGGTAATTGATTAAAAAATTGTACATTACCTCGATTGGACGGTGATTAAGTTTGAATGTAATGTAGCAGGCGATATTACTTTGTCGACAAGGATAATCCGTGACTTGTTTCACCTATCAAATGTTCTTTATCTGCGTTGTGCCATGATCATCATTGAAAATATTTTACGATAATATTTTTACAATATTTAGATGAGGATTTTCAATTCTAAACGCAAGAGCGTACTTAGGGAAAGATCTACAAGAAACAGTTTCTCATGAATACGTTTTAAAAATTCTTTTAGCTGACTTGTACATAGATAAAAATTACTACATAGATATATTTCACTTCGACGATTACCTTAATAAACAATTAATGGGAAGTTCTGAGAATCAGTTTTTAATACTACATGTTAAATTAATGGTTATTTTTCTCTTCCTGCTTAAGGGCTCTTTCGCAGTTTGGACAACGCCAGTTTGCACTTGAACCTTCCAAAATAATTGTTGAAATGCATTTCCTGTGAAAAAACTCCTTGCAGCTACAACATTTCACACAACGAGAAGGAGACTTCGAGTCTGACTCTTCCCTCGGCATTCTACACTCGCACATTACCGAGACCTCATGAACAAAAAGTGGCCTCCTGTCTCGACATTCGGGTACTTTAGAGAGGGGAAAGGGGTCGAATGACCCACTCTCCAGGCTCTTTAAAAGATGTTGTCTTATCAGCTTCCTGTAAAATGTCAGATAAGAAGGATTGAGGCCATGTAGTAGCGACACCAGAAAAGCAATAGCACATTTGGTACAATGACCCTAAAACTGGTTCCTTCCTCGTATATAATTGATGCAATCTGTTTCTGCACGAGGGCTGCAATTCTTCCCGAAAACAGGCTGTCGTACAGATAAACTAAAGAAGGAGTGTAGCATCCTACAGTAGATACCAACACCCAATGATGGCTGTCAGTATTCAGGATTTGTGAAAATTGGCCTTTTTGAACAGAAAAATTAAAAATCGGCCTCAAGTTGTATTTTCCAACACTCTTGAGTGAGGGAACTGCTCCCTCAGAACAGACTGAGCTGCACCTACAATATGGTCAGTGAGCCAGTCTCCAGTTGAGATGGTGTTAATGTCCTGTTCTGAGAGATGGAATTTACCGGCCTTTGGGGCGCTTCTGTGAGAGACCTTTACAAATTCTACTCCATCATCTTTTTTGTTTTGCTGGGCCAGGTTTGTGTTCGTTGTCGCGTTTACTGTAAGGATGATACATGTGTTTGCAGTGCTGGTTGTGCTCGAGGTTGTATTAATGAAGGAGATGGTGTTTGCGTTTGCGGTGCTGGTGATGCATGTAGTCGTGTTTGCTGTGTAAGGGGTGCTTGCCTTTACAGTTTGATTGGCGTTTGAATTTGAACCATTAGGGTTATTCACATTCACACTGCGGTTTACGTTTACTTGAGCCTCGGCGCTTGAGTTGGCATTCTTGGCGTGTGCGAGTTTCGGCTGTTTCGGCAGGCTGGCGTTCTATATCGTTTAAGCTGACGTTATAGCCCCTTTTCAAGTTGTTTGCTCTTTCCCCCACACGTCCAGTGAAAGGATTTTTCTTCTGAGATACTGGCAGCCTTTTATAGTCTACTTTCTTTTTTTCATCCCGCGCGAATTCTTTTTCATAGTAGACTTCAGGAGAGGAGCTTCCAGAATGATACCGTTCTCCTTGGGGGCTGTTTTCTGCAGAAGGTCGAGACACTCTTCAAGCTTTTCCTGAACTTGCTTTAAACTCCCACCAACTTACCACGCCTCCGCAGTGTAGGTCAGGTTTTTTTATCTGACCCAATAGCTCACGACATTTCGCAGCATGGGTTCGGGGTCGTAAAGTCGATTGAGGTATACTTTCAAACTGCGACTATTGCTTCTCGATCGTGAACCGTCGTCATGCACACATGGAGGTGAGTCGACTACTTTCCCATCGGCAATACTATCGCCTTCTTCCTTTTCACCAGCTAAGAGCACATCTCTATCGACGCTGAAGAATGGGGAATCTCGATATTCTTTTGGAAGTCTATCGATCGAATGACGGGACGTGCTGGAATACGGCAAAAACAATGTTTGCATAGCAGCCGTTGCCTCTCCCAATCAAAGCACTCACAGCTTGGCTGCTTAGTCCCAGACATAACTTTGTACATCTTCTCTTCGAGGCTACTTTGGCTTTTCACCAAAAACTCGCCATTCTCCATGTCGATAACTGTGACATTGTTACTTGGGATAGACTCCGCAAGAGATAGCCTGTCCATGGAATGTTTTATGATGTGGTGCGGTCGTTCTCTTAAATAGGAGGGGATGGCAGAGTTATAGCGTCGAAAACTTGCTTGAAGTTTTGTATTCAATTCCACATACCTGAGACACAAAAAGGCCATTAGAATGTTCCTTTTTACTCCATGGTAATGGTATTTGTATCACGCCTTTACAGACTGTCTCGCCTTCCGCTTTGTCACTCTCTCATATTGAAAAATAACTTTCTTTTCTCATTCTTTCATTAAACTATTTCGTTAAAATTTATAAAAACTATAAAACATCTTTCTATTCATTCATTTATTCATTTATTACTAAATTTTCGGGCATTTCACACTGAAACCGAGACGTTCTATACCAAAATGTACAAATAAACACAAAATGTTCCAAACATAGACAGCATATGACTGGACACGGAAAGCAGGAATTACTTACTTGAGATACTTGTCAGGAAGGAACTCATCTATTAGCACTGAGAGCATCCCACTAAAGGTTCTTTGTTTGATTCCTACTAGGTAATCGTACTTGAGAGCCTTATTCTGCCTTTCAACGCCATTGTTGGTGTTGATAGTTGTAAGGAAGCGGTCTTCTCTGAACCTCCATACCCATTTCTATAAAAGAATTAAAAATTAGCTTTTCCAGCAAGAAATTCAAGAAAATATGATGGTTAGTATGCATATACCTTATGTTGAGGCAGCCATGTCTTTGTGGTATAGTTACTTAAGTTGTTATTTGTCCTCCATTCTTCGCTATCCTGGAGGTCGCTCAATCTATGCCGATACTCTTCTTCCGTGCGGGCCTTAGCTATCGCTCGCAGCTTTGCAAGGACTTTTTGTTTTTCGTTCAGTAGGCCATTGCTGGACTTTGAAAGCCACCTTTCCCATGCCTGCTCACAATGAAAGTCGCAGATGTAGATAGCACTCTCTATATTGTCATTGGAAAAAAAGGGTAAAATAAATGAAGTTACTTTGCATGAGAGAATCAAACTGGCACCAGCGTAACATTCGTTGACGAATGTTAATAATTATTTAGAGGGAGGAACAGTAACAAAATACTCTTCCACCTGTCGAGAATTTTATTGTAAACGTGATCATGGGAGTTGATTTCTCGTGTACTTTGTTTTTTTTAGAATCAAGACGTTCATTAGATGTATTAGATTTTAGAAGATGGTGACTGTGCTCGCATCTTTCTTTTATAAAACCATAAAATGGTCATAAATTACGAATCCAGATATCTATTTTCGCAGTGTGACACTGCTCTAAGAAAGAATCTTAATACCTGGAAATAACTTGCCAATTGCAGATATCTCCTCTTCTGAGAAATCAACCATAAAATATGTGGGGTTCCAGGTAGGGTTCCAAGACTTAATTATCGAGGGGGCTTCATAAATGGAATCTGACGTTTCGCTTTGGATGACGAAAGAGCCTACAATTTGATAATCGACGTTGGTCTTCACAACTACAAAGAAAAGAGGGAGTACTTCGTGGTCTTATAAGTAGCGTCTAGCATACTTATTTCATTTCCATAGCGTTCGATAGGAGCCCTTTAGTTGGCGTCTTCACCATGATATCTTCATCATCCTCCTCACCATCGCTACGACTGCTATCATCATCATCCCCATTTCGTTCTTCTCCCTCTTCGTTGTAAGTTACATAGGGTTGGAACGCAAAATTATCCTAAGGAGAACTCTCCCTCCAAAGCTTCACCTTTTCCTGAAGATCCTCCTGGTCAATTTTCGAGAACCTTTCTTTCACTAAGGATTTGTACATGTGACTTCTAGTCGTAACTTTGGAGGGATAAAAGCGTCTGTTGGTCTTCAATGGCGCTTTTTTCTCTCGATATAATTCTCTTTGCACAAAGATCTTTAAATGTCAGCGTATCTCTTTCTCTGATCTTGCTCCTGCACATACGAGTTCTTGTATTTTTGCCACGAGCCTCTCATCTACGCGCTGAAACAGACCTCCTGCCTAAATTCAAAATTAACAAAGAAATGAATAATCAGAAATCAGGCGTAAAAAAAGTAAATAAGAAGATTAAGAAAATCGAAAAATAATTCTTACGTACACGACTACATGCGGTTTTTGATCCACTCATTTCTATGAGAAGCACCAGTTACGTAGCCCGCACCAAAAACTGTGTTCATCGACTGAGGGAAAATGGATGTTAATCCACCTTTCAGTTTTTACCGTTCCAGCATCTATGGCGTTACGCAGCTTTTTGAAATGACTTTTACAGCGCCACTCCGTCTTTTGCGAGATCTAGAGGTCAAAAGGAGGAACACAAATTGACGTTTTTGTGATGTCATTTATAGGTCGGCGTTTTTCTTGTTTAATTCCATTTTGCAATTTCTTTATTCCGACTTATCTTGTACTCCGGAAATTTGATGATTTCTCTCATGTGCACTTGAGCGGGACAGTTGAGTTCCTTGATTCTTGTAAAAGCTTACCAGCTCCATTTCTTCGATAGGCGTGGTTACCGGCCTATGTTTTTGGAAAAAAGAAGTCTTCTTGTTAATGAAAACTTTTTAAGCAGCGATATAACACCACGTTTCCACTGAAACTCTCTTCCATGTTGGACATTGAAATATCCTATCCCATCGAGTCCTCTTTTCAGATCATCTACTCTCTTATCTTTATGCAAGGAGGAGGAAACTCAAAGCTACTTGATCTTGACCTTTAGTTAATAATCAACGCAAAATAAAAAATCTGCAAAATCATTTAAATACAAAATACTTTCAATCTACCGCTTGGTTTTTCCTTTTCTCGCTTAGATGTCTATCTACACCATGTTGACAATCGTATACCTTGTGATTTACCACAACAAATGGGACGTGATCAAATGGTAGACGACTATCCTCCCATAATACCTTGTTTTTTAGCTGCCAAGTCTATGTTACAAATTTGACGGAAAAAATACAATCGCATTTGACACGAAGATTGACCTCTCACCTGTGTTTCCAAAATCTTTGTCAGTTGACTTGGTACAACAGAATTTGATGACGGTGGCAGTTTCATATACTCGAAGAATGAACTCTGCTGACCTGACATCCTTCACCAGACCTGACCTTTCAGTCAACTTTCTCTCAAACAATGAACTCACTTCTTGAGAAGTTAATTTACGTGCCATCATTGAATTGGAAATTTTGTTCAGAAAGCGAAATTATCGATTGAAATACGGCCGAACGCTGAATACAAATTGAGTGAGTAAACAGATACTTTGATATCTCGGACGATGACAAATTTCCCGCCTTTGCGAGTTTGGACCATTCAATTGTCTGGGAGTTAATCGACCGTATCATTTATCTTTCCTCGCCATTTCCGGGGACTTCCACATTGGTACCATTAAAGGTTTCAAAGAACCAACCGCCTTTCAGTCTCTCATATGACTTAACAATCTACCAGTGAGTGTGATGGGTGGAACAAGCCAGTTGTTTTCCGATGACCAATCCTGTATAAACGCATCCACAGCTTCTGTGCCGGGTTGGAGGAATCTGGAGTTGAATCTTGGCAATTTGGTGTTATAACTGCAGGCAAATCTGCCGATCGAATGTGAACCCCAGCGGTCTTCGAGCAAGAGAAAAATGTCATTATGAACTGAGTAATCGTCCAAGTCGACCATCTTACTCACAAAATCTGCGTTCGAATTAAAATCTCGTGGTACCCAAGAAACATTCAACTGAATTTGTCGACGCAAACATAAAAGAAAAATATCCGAAGCAATGTCTTGCAACTCCTTAATCATGCTACCAACTTGAACAATTCTCACAACGTTTTGACTATCTGTATTGCAGCAAATTCTCCGACCAGCCAGATGATCTTCAAAGGAATCAAGGGCAAACTTTATGGCGACTAACTCTCTCCAGGTTGAAGATTTTAGAGAATCTTCGGTGGACCAATTTCTGTGGCAAATTAAGATGGAACCTTTAATGAAGGCCTCGCAGCCAGTGGAAGAAGTATCTGAAAAAGACTCCTCAGATGGCACAAAAGGCTTCTGCCAAAAAGGAATTCCATTTAAGGATCTAAGATTGCCTCGCCAAAATTTAAGTTCTTCCTTCGCTGGATCAGCAAGATCGACCATTGAATTCCAGGAGTGACGAGCATTGATAACTAGATGCAAGTACCTAGTCATGATTTGAGTGACATTTCCACAGCTGGCGGCGTAGAAATAAATGGAATCTTATAACCGTCTCTGATAACGCTCAAGATACTCCGATGGAATGCCAAAACGCGATGGATTTAGACAGCTTCCCTTTAACAGAAGCCTGTGGGATAACAGGGTCATAGCTGCCACTAGTACCTGGCGATTCTTGGACGAGACCTTGACGGGAAAGATTTCCGAATTACACAAAGGGTTTATAACGGAAATGTCACTCTTACTTTGTTCGTCAAGGAATGGATTCTTCAGTCATCTACAATCAAGATTACCTCTAGCGGCCCCAGAACGAGCAATCTGACTGCATTCGGACCTCTAATGCTCAAATCTGCCACAAGCGAAACAATTTCCAGGTCTTGATGGTCGATCAATCGAGTTTAAACGATCACGCTGGCCACGCCAGGAACTGAGCCCAGAGGAAGCTCTTTGGCTCGAGTAAAACGTGAACTTGAAGGGCGGGAAACTGAGGAGACTTTCTTAGCTGTCTTTCTAGTGGTGGCAGACTTCAAAGCTTTCTCAGCTCTTTCTTCGGCGCGAAGACTGTAAAAAGAAAGTGGTCAAACCTAAGACTGACCGACGTAAAATGACTTTATTCTTCCCGCGAAACGCTTAAATAATCCGAAACTACCTTGTTGCCATGCGAACCTCTTCAACGTGCCGTCAGAATATTAATTTCTGACTAGTTCGTTCCCTTGTCACTCAAACGTCAGAAATTACATTTTTCAGCAAGGAACTGTGTTACAAAGTTCTGTTGGTAACTCTTTTGTTGAGAGTTTTTTCAAAGGAAGCAAGCAATACTAAGGATGTTTACTTGAGCGACTTTCAATTCTGTTTTCGATTTCATGAACTTATGTAGTGGTCGGTCGCAATAATATTGTTCTGTCATCGTCAACTCACCTTCCGAGGTTCTTTGCATCTTGAAGAGAGCTCTTGTTCATCGAACATGAAGATTTGTAGTGGAAACCACATAGCGGTGAAATAATCGCCTTCTAGGAAACTAGGTCATTATTATGTTTTACGGGGGATTTTGTCCCTTTCTTGGAGAGATTACGTCATAATTATAATGGCCTCAAAGATAACGAATTTTCTTTCAATAAGAGACATCAGACGCTGTTGAAATCAAGACTGCGTGGAGGACTGTAATATATGAATTACGGCTTGTATATGAATTGTGGCTATATTCGATTGGTTTTTCGTCTGTTTTAAGCTTTTGACAAGTTGTATGTTATGCTCAGCTTAAAAATCGTTTGTCAAAATTGTAAAAGAAAAAGAAATGAACAAATGAATAGTAATAAGTACATGACACTTCCGGTTTTTCTCAGAAATCTTGTAACATCCTCCCAGCGGTTTGGGCCATTTTCAAGTTCTCACTGAGGCACGAGAACGAGGCAAAGTGCGAATTAAGAATCATGGTATTTCAGCATCGGATCTCTCAACCGTGAAAAATGGCCTATTGATTTAGATTATCAACCCTTTGCATGTGCAAGAACTTGATATTTCAAATCGTTGCTCTTTATTCGCTGTATTGTAGAAATGACAGATACACAATCCCCCACTACCGAATCACAAACGACGATCGACGACGCTCGAGCTCGTTCAAGGAGGTCGTTCATCGCTGTGTTAAAAGCTAATCGCGATGTCTTCTCCAATTTGCCAGAAAGGATTGAGCAGTGGCTTGAGGAGGAAACAAGGGCTACAAATCAGCCGGAAGCGACCAAACACGGGTACGTAAGACAACATTGACGAATGAATCGAACATTATAATGTACCGTGCACATATCTTGCCTCAAATTTTCATACATCTCTAAGTTTAATGTCACATAGTTAAATATAATACACAGATAAGTGTCGGGTGTTAACGAGACAACTTCATCAGCAGATTTTTTCTTGTTAAGCAGAAGAGATGAGTCAGACAGATTAGCACGATCAGACATGGAAAAGCAACTAGAATGTTTTCAAGCAGAAATAAACGCGAATACTCAAAGGTAAGTCGGGCTTTTGATACACGTCACTTGTACATTGTTATGTGCGAGCTTCCATATGACGGGGGTAGGGTCAGGCATATGTGTTTAGGGAGAAACTAAAGATACTCAAGAGCCACTTACCATGAGTAAATATCTAGAATTTTCCTAAAGGACCCCTTTAATAAACCTTTTTCAAAATTATATCGAAAAGTTCAATTGCGCTTTGCATTCTGAAAAATCGAAAAGAATGTACACCACAACGCAATACATTCCCTAAAGATCATTTCAGTAATTTACTTGATCTGACGTACCGACATAACGTAATCCGGACAAGAGTCGTTTGCGGTTAATTAAGTGCTAATTCAATGAATCACTCAAAACTTGACGCGCATTCGTATTCATAGCAAACCTCACATTTACCTGTTGGTGGAATCTTGATATTTATAGTCAGTGCTTTGTCAGTGCTCTTCAAACGTGATTCGGTCTGGCATCAACGATTTAATCGCTCTGCTGTCTCCGGAAAAAAAATACATTGTGGGTACACCATCTGTTACGGACGATTTCACGGGCGAATTCGGTACGATAAACGGTGGGCAAACGTTAACCTTTTATCTGGTGTATTTACGACATTGTAATGATAATTCGAGATTAGAGATACAGCAGTCGTAATTAAGAGAGTGTCTCTGTAAGAGCGGTCCGGTCGATTTTGCTTGAAACACGGATTTTGCTCATTTCTTGTGTGTTGTAAGACATTCATGTACCTAAACTAAAAGGAACAGGACTAAAACCTCACTCTCCTAAGAATTGGGGAGGAGTGTTAATCGAATTACCCTTTCTGGAAGTCACCAATAACAAACCCTACTAATGTCCATAATAATGTTCAGCTCGGAACTGATTCGTGATAATTTCACGTGATATTTTCGTGAAGTTATTGTTGCGTTACAGGATCGAGATTGACTTTTTCGAATTAAGAGAGTGTCTCTGTAAGAGCGGTCTGGTCGATTTTGCTTGAGACACGGATTTCGCTCATTTCTTGTGTGTTGTAAGACATTCATGTGCTTATACTAAAACCACAATCCGTTTGATCGGATCTCTTTATTTTTCAGAGTTTTACGGAAATCCAATTTAACTCGAGCGAAGGCCTGTCGTGACACTTTTCAAGACTTTAATTTGAGACAGCTTTGGAGGACAATTTACAAAAAACTACGGAACTTAGCAAAAAAAAATACCCCAGCCATGTATATTAACTCTATCTTATCCATCGAGGTGACTTTCGTGAACATCACGTTTCAATCAAGCAAACAAGAAGACTTGAATGACACCTTATCGATTCGCTTAAGTCACACAAGTGAATACCGATCAAATTCAAGGTAAATTTTTGAAAAAGTGAGGCGTACTTAACTGATCCAACTAACATAGCCAGGAAGTAGATGCCATAGAAAAGGTAACTAAAGAAAAAAACTTTGCGGCCCGACCTTTACGAAAACTTTGTAACTCCGTGAACTTACCTGATTTTCGGCAATCTCCAAGTTTGGCCGCTATTTTGAGGGACTTGTCAACATAAAGCGTAGCAGATATAAATCGAGCAGGTAGATCTAAAACCGTCAGAAATACATACGAAAGCAATTCAAATGAACTTTGCTTTCAATTCAAGCGGCAAAATTTGAAATGTTTCGTTAAACTTACCATTCCTACATCCCTATCCGACCATTTCTTTCAACAATTCAAACACTACAACTAGTGTTCGAATTCCCCTCGTCGATTCCACCGTAAGAAATAACCTGTGCCACCCAAGCTTCGACTCGAATGTGAAGTACGAATCAAATAACACAACTGCTTCATCTTCGAGGCAATATCAAGCTGGTATTTTGATTTTCTGATCGACAAGAACGGTGATCAGATAGCGATCGCCATGTTTACCTCATAAACGTGACCGCTGACCAGCCAATTGAAAGTTCGTCGTGAAATCGCACGAACCTTAGACTGAGTGTGAACAACTTTGACTTAATCAAAAATTTCGGTAGTTATTAACGCTTTCTTGTTGATCGTCTTAATAGTAACAGTTTCCAGAATCCAAGGGGAGCAAAAGAGAGAATAATTTTCTGTGTAGTTAGGTAAGGCAACGTGCCGGCTTTATACTTCTCCCGGCGTGATAATGATAATGATGACAACAATGGGTAAAAAAGCATAGTCCACTAATAATGACAATTATCATAGTTATAAACAAATCTCAGTTATAGTCCTGAAAAAAATCTCAGGGGGTCCTTTGAACCATCCACTTCATCTCGTCAGAAGTCACGACGAACTTTCAATTCCGGTGTTTTGCGCGCGCGACTTTTGATAGAAAAAACCTGCACGCGACATTACTTAAAAGAACTTGTCAGCTGAATGAATCAAATCTCTATCATTTTGCATACATTCTTGGGAACAACAAACATGACTTAGAACAGAAATTCTAAGTATAGAGTTTATTCCGTGCAATGAGGCATAAATAAAAGTTTCTGGTGGAAAAGACACCTTTCTTTTATACCACTGATGACAAGCAAAAAGGTCAAAAATATATTGATAACTCTATTAATTGATACCAGTTCTAATTTAAAGAAGAAAATGAAAGAGGAATAAAATAAAAGTTGTCTGTACCACGAAGCATGCCTTCACTGTTTAGACTGGGAGTCCTAAAGCGTTTTAAGCATGTATTCGGATATCTTATGACGATAGGCCCGCCACCCACCCGACCCCGCACTATACTGTTTTCACTCAGTGGCTGGTCAGCGGTCACGTTTATGAGGTAAACATGGCGATCGCTATCTGATCACCGTTCTTGTCGATCAGAAAATCAAAATACCAGCTTGATATTGCCTCGAAGATGAAGCAGTTGTGTTATTTGATTCGTACTTCACATTCGAGTCGAAGCTTGGGTGGCACAGGTTATTTCTTACGTTGGAATCGACGAGGGGAATTCGAACACTAGTTATAGTGTTTGAATTGTTGGAAGAAATGGTCGCATGGGGATGTAGGAATAGTAAGTTTAACGAACGATTTCAAATTTTGCCGCTTGAATTGGAAGTAAAGTTCATTTGAATTGCTTTCGTATGTATTTCTTACGGTTTTAGATCTACCTGCTTGATTTATATCTGCTACGCTTCATGTTGACAAGTCCCTCAAAATAGCGGCCAAACTTGGAGATTGCCGAAAATTAGGTAAGTTCACGGAGTTATAAAGTTTTCGTAAAGGTCGGGCTGCAAAGTTTTTTTCTGAAGTTACCTTTTCTATGGCACCTACTTCCTAGATATGTTAGTTGGGTCAGTTAAGAACGCCTCACTTTTTTAAAAATTTACCTTGAATTTGATCGGTTTTGGCATGTGTGACTTAAGCGAACCGATAAGGTGTCATTCAAGTCTTCCTGTTTGCTTGATTGAAACGTGATGTTCACGAAAGTCACCTCGATAGATAAGATAGAGTTAATATACATGGCTGTGGTATTTGTTTTTTGCTGAGTTCCGTAGTTTTTTGTAAATTGTCCTCCAAAGTTGTCTCAATTTAAAGTCTTGAAAAGTGTCACGACAAGCCTTCGCTCGAGTGAAATTTAATTTCCGTAAAACCCTGAAAAATAAAGAGATCCGATCAAACGGATTGTGGTTTTAGTATAGGTACATGAATGTCTTACAACACACAAGAAATGAGCGAAATCCGTGACTCAAGCAAAATCGACCGGACCGCTCTTACAGAGACACTCTCTTAATTCGAAAAAGTCAATCTCGATCCTGTAACGCAACAATAACTTCACGAAAATATCACGTGAAATTATCACGAATCAGTTCCGAGCTGAACATTATTATGGACATTAGTAGGGTTTGTAATTGGTGACTTCCAGAAAGCGTAATTCGATTAAAACTCCTCCTCAATTCTTAGGAGAGTAAGGTTTTAGTCCTGAGGATCCTTTCAAATTGGAATTCACAAAGGGAAGCCGCGATGGACATAGCAGAAACAATTAAGGCCTAGAAAAGACAAAGTTTTGAAACTGGTAGTTACTTAGTTTTTCCGGTCCACATTTTTTTCTCAGTAAGATAAGCCAACTGTTTTTTCACAGGATGTGGACCGAGGTCACGTTACAATAAATGAATGGCATTATGAACATCATCCCTGACGTAATAAAAACCAAAATTACGTTATGTCGCGATCATTTACTTGTAGTAAGTACTCTTTGGTCACCTTGCGATGAACTAAGGAGTAGCTACTGATAGATTCAGTCAACGGAAACAGCGATAAGTTCCGGTAGTGTGGGCCTCTTGGCTCGAGTTTTAACCTTACTTATTGCCATTGATGTAGATGATAGTAACCATCATGGACGAATACTATATCATTATTATCATTGTCATCATTGCCATGATAATAGTGTTCAATATGTTAATTTATCTTATTTGTTTTAATCATCAAATATCAATTTTGTACAAGTGTTAGCATCCTTTACAGTTTAACGACCCTAGACCAAACTGTCAGAGAGATGACTGCAGCACTTGAGGCCATGAAAAGCGTGCACAGCTCAATGGTGATCACCAGAGACAGGTTTACCCAATTTCGCATTTCGTCTATTTTTATTGTGATTCTTAAAAAACTGTTAGGACTGCAAATAACATTGCAGGTTTTCTAGCATGTATTTACTTCCGCATATAAATATATATATATATATATATATATATATATATATACACATACACATATATAATATAAAGTGTAAAATTTTGACTTTCGTAAAACATTGCTCAATACATAGGAGTAGAGCGATATATATATATTGTGGGAGGAAAAAGACAAATAAACTACAAGTTCATCCCTACAGGTCTGTTTCGTGGTTGCCCACTCATCGGGGGATGTAATGGGAATAATCTTTACCATCGCTTATATACAATATAATCTAATTTATGCAGCGCGAAATTTAACAGTTTAGTTGTTGCGTAGGAGGGCTTTGTTTCTGTGGCGGCTGGAAGACACGAGTTCATTACGTTTGTTTACGTTTTTCTGTGTCTCTAGGTGTGGCGTTAGTGATGGCTAGTCCGTCGTCTCGGTAGAGTCCTACGTTTAAATTGAGATCCTGAAGTTGGGAGAGCAAAAAGCCTCCCACGAGTTCACATGTTTCGGTGCCGTCGTAGTTTCCCATTGTTACGTCGAATGTTGTATTGCTTTTCTTTTGCCAGGGTAGGTTCTTGTGTCACATGTTTCGGTGCCGTCGTAGCTTCCCATTGTTACGTCGGATGTTGTGGGAAAAGAAAGGCAATACAGAGAACATCACTGAAAGAAATATGCCGCATCATTAATAATAACGGTCCACGCATCACCAAAGAAGCTAACAAACAAATAATGAACTTCCTAGACGTCACATTTAACCTTAACCGAAGCACTTATCAGCCATTTACAAAGCCGAATACTTCACTGCAATACGTTCACAGCGAGAGCAACCACCACATCGGACACAAATTCCTCGCCTAGTAGACAAGCACTTTCCCAAAGACCACAAGCTCAGAAAAATCTTCAACCGAAACACCATCAAAATGAGTTACAGCTGCATGAACAACACGAAACAAATAATCGACAACCATAACAAACGCATCCTAACCGCATCTATACAGACTGCTGATACCGCCAATGCTGTTTGGAATTATTTCAGAACTCATTTCCAGGACAACCTGGTCCCTTCCTTTGGTTTATTCGGTGTATTTTGGGAAAATTTATCGCTTCATTTATGCTGGATTCCCGAAAACAAACATAATCGTTAGCAAGCGCCGGATCCAAGATTTTAGGGCTCAGTACACTTGTAATTGAGCAAGGCTTAAAACAGCGAAAGGGCTGTTCTTTGATACATGTCTTCAATCCTGTATAACTCCTGATAATTCCGTTCAAAATGCATTGCAACTCTAAGAAGGTGGTGCTCAAAAGAGATGTATTGTCATAATTGCGAAGAATATTCAGTAAACAAAGGGAAAACGATTTCCAAATTATCCTTTACAAAATTATGAAGAAAATCGAGTAGTGCTGAAATCTAGTAGCACGAAACGAAATGACAGCGACACAAATCATAGAAAAAAAATTATTTAGTCGGCTTCAAAATTTGATAGATGAATCAGCAGACTCGAGACTAAACTGAAATGGACTAGTTTCAAAGTTTATTCGCCCATGTGGATTCATAGTTAACAACTTACTTGCCTATCTAACTATCCTCTGTTTGAGCTTGTTACATAACTCTCAAAGAAGATTATTTCGTTGTCCTTAGAGTGGTCTATAAACCCGAAAATTCAAAGGTGATAGTGATCTTTATAAAACCGAGGTGAGGATTCTCTTTGTAACGACTGCTAAATAGTTTTTCAACACAACGCGACGGCGTTCTCGACCCATTTTCTTATCGACATTTTTGCTGCGCGCGCCGTTCCGAAATGACGTTCCCGTCCTCTTGCTAAACCACTCTATTAACAAGACATGCAACTACAGACAAAAGAACGCATGCCCGCTCAACGGAAAGTGCCTGCAACCAGTAATTTACCAAGCCACCGTCACACGCAAAGACAACAACACGACAGAAACGCACATTGGACTCACAGAGAACGACTTCAAAACAAGATACAGAAACCACACCGCATCATTCCGCCACGCTAAACACAGAAACTCCACCGAACTCAGCAAGCACATCTGGAACCTCAAAGACAACAACATCGAACACTTTTCCTGGCACATTCTCTCATCACTCGCCGTACAACAGCTCAAGTAAAAGACGTGATCTCTGCCTCAACGAAAAATTTCTAATCATCTGCCGAACCGAACTATCAGCACTAAACAAACGTAATGAACTCGTGTCTTCCTGCCGCCACGGAAACAAAGCCCTTCTAAGCAACAACTGGACTGTTAAATTTCGCGCTGCATAAATTAGATTATATTGTATATAAGCGATGGTAAAGATTATTCACATTAAATCCCCTGATGAGTGGGCAACCACGAAATAGACCTGTAGGGATGAACTTGTAGTTTATTTGTCTTTTTCCTCCCACAATATATATACATATATATATATATATACACGAGGCTGAGATCTAAATCGACCCTTTAGCTTTCAATGGACAAGCGAATACGACTAAAAATTGATGGAACCTTTATAGCAAAGTAAGTAGATGTGAAATATGTGACAAGATGATGATGAAGAACGTCATGTGACTGACGACGTCAGCATTTTTGTCTTATTCTAGAAGAAATATCAAGAAGGTAGCTAGCTTATTACCATTTACTCAGTAAATTGATCTTTGCATCTGGAATTTCGATGTCTTGTTAAGCTTGTCGGTGCAGACTTGAAAACGCGGCAATACAAAATAAAGAGAGGTGTATCTGTGGGAAAATGTTAATAAGACACAAACATAAAAATGGATCGAAAACGAAAGGAATTACAATCTACATGAAAAAACGACATTTTTTAAATCTGCAAGATGTGTTTCGATACTACTGATGCCATCCTCAGAGGCAAAAGGGTCCCAATGAGACAGGGTAATTTTGTTAACGTTTAATCGGATTGTTACGTTAGTATCTTGCCCGCTTTTAAAATTCTCTTTCATTCGATTGTTGCGTAAGTACCTCGCGCACTTTTAGGATTCTCTTTCGTTAGATTGTTACGTTAGTATCTCGCACACTTTTAGGATTCTCTTTCATTGGATTGTTACGTCAGCATCTCGCGCGCTTTTACAATTCTTTTTGATTGGACTGTTACGTTAGTATCTCGCGCACCTTAAGAGACTCCTCCATTCTTGAGTCACTTAAAATAAGTATCTCAAGTACTTCTCAGATTCTCTTTCATTGGATTGTTACTTTTGCATCTTGCACACTTTTAGGATTCTCATCCATTCAATTGGAACGTTAGTCTTTTGCTTACTTTCACTATTTCAAACATAGATCGAAGATAAAAATGTCGTCGATCTCGAGGGAATCATTAATAATCTGGCTAAAACTGCTAGTGATGATTTTTGTCATAAAAGCTATCGAAAGCTATCAGGACACTCGACGTGATCTAAGCGTGATCTCAGTTGTGATCTTGTCAATGGTCGGAAACAGTGCTTAGTGGTGTGTACAAAGACAAGTCATCAATGAAGTGAGCCATCTTTTAATATTATGGTATATAATTAAATTTCAAGCGAAAATCGGTGAAAATGAGGATAAACTGAGCATTTTTGGTATTCTGAAGACCAGTTAATCATCCTAAAGATTCCTCCAGATCTTACGCTCTTGTAAGCAAGCGACTAAAGTATACAAATTCTTTAAACCGTTTGACGGTTAATATTGATTTGCATTTTGGACGGTTGAGCGTAAAAATCTATCCTCTTTGACTGCTGACGGTTAAACTCCGTCAAAAGCCTCTTGCAAATGCTCATGTTACAGTTTGAATTTTACTTAACAAATGCTTAATCGCTGCTATCGAATCACAACGTGAGATTACTCTATACAGAATCGTGAACTAATTTAAAAAAACTTGTTACGCAAGGAGAGGAGTGCAAAAGTGGTATTTAAAGTAATCTATATAAAACCAAAACAATACTAACTATAGTAGAATGATAATAGTATATATATATATATATATATATATATATATATATATATATATATATACGTATAGGTAGTAACATGACTTCAAGTGCAATTTGGTGAAAAGAAGTACGAGTAAATTTTTCAAAGACAACAAAGTTGCACGAGCCCGTAGGGCGAGTCCAAATTGTTGTCTTGAAAAATTTACAAGCTCTTAGTTGCACCAAATTGCACTCAAAACTATGTTACTACCTATTGATAATTAACATGAAAAAATTATCACAAAAAATCAAGACAGACGAAATTTTTGCACCTGTGGTATAACTTTGCAGTCGTGTTACATGAAAAATGCACTCGTTTTCAGCTAATCAGAAGCGCGTAATTTTTCATGTGTATCATTATTGTACTTAGTATATACTAAAACACGATATAATATTGCACAAAACAGATGATTTTGACTCATCTATTCCTTCAACCACTAGTATATTTTCCAATGCAATTCCCGCGCGTTTTGCTGGGAGGTGGATAGCGAAAGAAATTCTTCAAGGATACACTTCAACAAACCACTTTGGCCCGCCTGTGTTTCTGTTATATTTTATTCAGATTGTACGTTCAGTATTCTGTTTGGTCTTACGTCATGATTTGATAACCAATTTTTAAAGTTAAATTCAAACTGTAACGGGAGCATTTGGAACTGACGTGGGATGAACTGAAAGGGTACGAGCAATGTCGAAAAGTGTTTCGCAAACTTAAAGATGTTTGTTTTATGCGACTTATGATACGTTTCATTTTGAATTCACACCTTTTTATGTATGTTTTTTACTTCCAACATTTGACCGAAGTTACACCGCTCTTTATATTTGCCTCATTTTCAACTCTGCTTTGACAAGCTCAAGATACTATTTACAAAGATATAAGTAATAGCAAAACGTATAGCGTTATCCTCCGGATAGAGATTTATCCACCGGATAGCGTTATCCAATCTTAGAACAACCGGGGCCTAGAGCGAAAAGGCCAATTTAGATCACGGCCTCGTTTCCGTGTTGAAATATGGAGTGGTGACAAAAAAGTCTCTTTCTTCTGGAAAGCATACCACAATTCAGCTATACGAACTACCATACGTTCATCAGGAGGTATTCCACCACCAGAAACAAGTGTCAGACCTTTTCTTTGGCGATGGTAAAACGATGAAATCTTTTTTTTCGGTATCTGCTCCCTCACTCTACATTTGTCTTATTAGGTGCGTGGAGAGAGAATTGAAGGAAAAGGAAGATACAATAGAGGCGAATAAAGAACAGTTAAAACTGGTGGAAGAGGAGTAAGAACACCTATAATTTATATCATAATAATTAAAAAAGTCACTTTAAGATATATAAAATCGCCCTGCCATGGTTAGTGTTCCTCAAAACAAGCACTCCTAAGACTTATTTAACTGCCACTTACTACTGAAGCTCCATAAATAGGAGATTATGATCACCCATTTGGCCCAATAAATTTTTTCATGACGGCGTAACCGTAGTTCCCACTTCCGTACATCTAGTTTGTAAGTAGCCTGGGTTATCTGCTTATTTCGCATAGAAGCGAATACGTAAAGAAAAAAGTTTTTTTACTCTTCGTCTTCACTAAGATAGAAAGTTCTAAGCTTCAGAAGAAGGGCAAAAATATGCTTAAGGGTACTCGATTACAATTAAAGTGTACATCAAAGTGACCAAAAATCGAGTAAAATCTTGAAAGAATGAAATTTCAAAAATTTTAAATATTAGTGTTAATATGCGTATGATATGCCATAACTGAATAATGCACGTTATTCAAATATCTTTCGGCATTTTCAATGCATTGGTTATTGCTCAAGCGAGCTATAGGGTGGGAGAGTGAAGCCAAGTGCCACTCTTGCAACCTCAAAGAAATTCAGAATTCTTGATTTGAAATGAAACTCTCCAATCTGAGTTTGAGACATTTTTCTTTACAATATGATTTGACTTGAAATTTTATAGGAAGGTTTGCATCAAAATGACGTACATTTGAAGTTAGACAAATTCATAACAGCAAAATGGCAAAGGGCAATAGAACTGTTACAAATAAACCTCCTGGCTTTAGATTAAGCTTTCAGAATTAATCTAAAGAATCCTAACATGATAACTCTATTAATATTTCCATGGATTCTAAATGTAATTAAGCTACGCTTCAATTGCTCTTCAAAAAGAATTTGACGCTGTAAAAATTGTTGAATTGGGGTGCTCTAGCTGATGCCAGTGTCAGAATATCGAATAATTGCTTTCCAGAAATAAGTATTGCCAAAAACAACTATAGGCTTTGTTCTCCGTCAAATCTCCTCTAGACCTCAATTTTTAAGAGTCAATGCGAAGAGTGCGATTTAAGTTGGTTTTAATCATAATTTTACGGTGTATGAAGAAGCTCTTTCTTTTCTTAGGAATCTGATACTCAACGAAGAATTGAAAAAAAAGGAAAAAGAGGCGAAGGAGAAAATTACAAAGCAAGAGGAGAGGTAAATTCTCAAATTATATAATTTTACGCATCAAGAAATGGTCCATTGTTCCGGGTCAACTTTTCCATTAAGCATCAAACAAAATTCCTGAGTAACTGGTAGTCCTGAGGGACTTTGGCCGAAGGGAAGCGGAAAAGCTCGTAACTGATCGAGAAAATTATCGGAGTGACAATTTTGCCGCATTGGGGGAGTGGGTAGTGTAAATATGCACTGGTAAAATCAATCTCCATCGGTGTACCCAAGGATAGACTTGACGCTCGTTCAGTGCATCGAGCTAAAGGTTCGCAATCTCAAATTAATTAAAGTTATCCGTATTGCAGTGACTCATTTAAACCACCTCTCTCTATATGTAAGTCAAGTCGCCTGGTAAAAAGTCAACGCACAAATTTTTTTTTTGGTCTTACTACTGGTGTTAAATGCAATCGAAAGTGACGGTTTTCTGTGAAGAGCCTCGGGGCGATTAAAGACCTTGTTTCCTTGTTTCACATCTCATTAGCATAAATCGAATTTGAGACAGCACGGGAGCAGCGAGTCTAATCTTAACAGCTAAAAGAATATGAAAGTAGTAGATTACATCCTTCGTATTGGCCTTCCACCAAGCATTATCTCTCTGAATTTATTTTACACTTTTAGTCACGTTCCAGACTTAACGCACCTTCCCAAATTAGACATATTTATATACATCTGTTTGATGCTAATAACCTTATTAGTCAATAGACTTGCAGTTACTATACATCTGGTAGTACTTGTTGATCCTCGGAAACATAATGTGGCCTTAAAATGATTGTGATTATGGGTAACTATTATGGTGAGCTGTGATCTCTTATCTGACTTTGATTTTGATCAGATTCCTTCACGGGAACAAATAACAGTTCAAAATTTGCAATACTTCACAGCAGTTTTGTAGCGCACTAGAAAGCAGCACCCAACTAGTATCCGGGAGTTACGGTTCGAATCCTGTCAAAACTTAAATTTCTTCAGTCTTCTTTTCTCCAATTTCAATAATTGTGGCTCACCTACGAGGAACTTTCATTTTCTTGAGTGTAAGTCCAACATGACTGGGTGTTAAAAACCCACCAGTCAGTGGAGATGCATTTTGGGTGGGCATGTTTTGTACATTTTTTGTTTGATGCGAGTAACCGCTGGTATGTGCCTGCGTCAGTTTCCCGCTAAAGACTAGAAGAGAAGCAGGAAAATACGTCACAAAACAACAATGGATCGAGTATTTGACAGAACCTTTCTTGTCATGTTTCCCTCTGTACCTTAGATGGAAGTGTCAAAGTCTTAAAATTGTTGTGTGGTGTGCGGATGGAAGTGATTAACAAGTATGCAAACGACTTCTGGTCTTGTTTTATGATTGTTTGAGCGATCGATGTCAATGATGTTATTTATGAAGGATGTAAGAGACTTTTCGAAGGGCGTAGACGTATTGGATAGTGAAATTAGTGTGACCAGTAATAATTAAATAAGTTAAGGTAAGCTGCGTGGATAGAGCAAAAGACTGATAGTTTAAACCAGTAGTAAGCTTCTGGTACTAATAACAATTTTTTGAATTTCAGCTTGCCACAGTAAATGTCACAGCTCTCCGTTCTGTCAATAGCACCAACTCTATGTATTGTCGTCACTTCACATCTCCCTTAACAGCAGAAAACATAAAAGTTAATTCCTATCATCAATCTCAATTACTGAAGAAATAAAAATTGAAGGATCAAGACATATCTAGCAAATTGAAATGCAAATCAAACTGGGTTGAATACATTTAAACCTGAAATTCGTTTTAAAATACTACAGAAATAGTGGTAGTCAACATTCCAGAGAAAGAAAGAGTTCCAGTCCCTTGAGTAGTTATCAACTGGTTATCCCTAGTCTCATACTTTTTTAGAACCAGAGAAAATTTGATTACGTTCATCTGCGAACTTCATTGGGGGAGTGGGCGTTCAGCATTCTGCTGAAACGAACAAGACAGAATGAAGCTGACGCCATTCGTTTCGAGTAACACATGAACATGAAGAAAACGATACCAGTATAAACTCATGCGACAAAGCCCGCGTATTTTTTTGAGGTGAATGAACTGGTTAGACCGAAAGCTAAATAAACAATGAACTGACAGTGGTGAGGGACTGGGGGGCCATATGATAAATAAGTTTTACCGACGTTTTTCCTCTAGTTAGCACTTCAAACCCAAATACTATTTGGGCTTGAATTAGAAAAATTCCCACCAGAACACAGGAAAAAAAATAAGATAAAAGCTAAGATGACCGAGGCAAGACCATAACTGTCGTTAAGACACATGCCTACAAACCATATACAACAGACTTGAAGCACTAAAAGACTAGAGACGGTCGTGAGCCATTACTTGGAAAATCCACCTAAACCTTCTTAAAACGAGTTCGTCAGAAGTTGTAATAAGAGCAATGCAATCCTGAAGCGTTGTGTCTTATGTGACTACAAAGAGAAAGAGAAGAAGCTTGGGGCCACCTCGAACTTAACGCAATTTATTTCAAAGTTGAAGTAAAATAAGATCAAATCCTAAATTATCTTCTTTCACCGTAACAAATATCTCACGATCGTCTTCAAAAAATTAAGACATCAACATCCTAAGACAAACCTTAAAGGTTTGTTGTCTCATGTGCACATCTTGATCTTCAGGAAACCGATGAGTATCCACAGAGTTAGAAATGGTGGTAAACTCGGCATATTCTTTCATCCCTCTTCAAAAATTATTTGGAAGAGGTGGCCATAGCCCAGTTGAAAATACGCAGAAGCGCGCTGAAACGGGCAAAATTTGAATTAATTTCGCGCATACGCAGACAAAATGCCTCTCCACTCAACCAGTCACAGTGGAGCGTTATCCTCTCTTAGGTGACACTAAACCAGTCAATCACTCGACCGAAACGTCACAATTCATGTGGCAAAAGATAATACTCCAGTGATGTTGTTTTAATGAAGGACAATTTCGTATTTCATACGATATAAGCGCAAGATATTGTTTGTAATTTGCATTTGAGTTCAATCTGATGATAGCTTTTCCATGAATCCCTTCTCGTTTTCTCTTTTCTTTGACTTGACTTATCAAGTTTCCTTATCGTCAGAATCACGAGACTCGAAAGTGAACAGGAGAAGAAGGAAAGGCAGATTATAGAAATAGCGAGAGAAGAAAGGGAAAAGTGAGTGCCTACCAGAAGCTAACCCTTGTTGGCAGGGTTTTGAACAGTTAAAAAATTTAGGCTTTTGATTTAGGACTGAACACTTACGGCACAGGGAAGGATTTTCCATGATGAAGGAATGGTTTAAGAGTCATTGGTAATTGTTCGGTGTAAATAATTTACCTACAAATGATGATGGTGATTTTTAGACAGCAGATAAACACTGTATTTATGAAGTTGACTGTTATGTTTATGTCGTCTTTGGTTAACGTTATCAGTGAGTGATTGAAATGAGATCTTTAATTCTTTATTGCTAGAACTGAAGGCCTGACAAATGAACATCAGAAGGAGGTCGATGAATTGTTACGCGAAATACAGGCAATGAAAGAAAAGTAAGTCTATATCAACTTTCTGATTTAATCAGTAGAATCGGCTTGGAATAAACAAAAATTGAGTCTTGTATTCCAGTTTTAGCTTCCGTATTTGTTAATTTGTATTTGTTAATATCTTGACGCGTTTGAAGTCAATTTGTGTTGAGTCTATTTAAAGCGGATTTTATAAAAAGGATTTCACTCATTAGTGGTGGTTACACACACCTTGGGTTTGGGGCCCTACGGAGTGTAAATGGCTTTGGTTTGGTTAAGCTCAGGTTTCATGTTACCCTTGGGATGCAGTTACACAGTAAAAGACTTCCCTCAGGGTCAAATAAAATTAGATATGAGTTCACTGTCCTAAATATAACAATCCAGCAGTTTTTTACGAGAAGACACCGCAGAAAGCGCGATAGCTAAATTCTTCTTTATGATTGGCCAAGCTACCTCAGGGAGCAGATAAACCGTACTTTTCAGCTCAGGAACTGTCATGAGAAGTTCTTTTGTTCTTTTTGATGTATCCATGGAAATAACCCTAGGGTAGTTTCGGTCTGGGGAAAGTGGTTACACACAAAAACGTCCATGCTCGTGGGAAAACGCTATTTACCCATGGGTAAAAGGGCTAGTGTAACCACGACTATTCTTGGTCTTTTTTAAAGGTTATTGAAGAAAGGTGACTATATTCAGAAAATGTATGAGGACTACAACAAGAATCTTGCAGATCATAAATCCAGGTTTGAATGCCAAGTTAGATATTAAAACAATGATACTTGGTATTTTTCTTGCCATTGGTAAACGCAGGCACAAAGCGAAATGATTACTGTTGAATATAAAACATTTTAATATATCACTGCTCCGGAGGCAAATAATCAGTGTAGGCGCAAGAATTTGTATTATCATTTTTTGTTAGTGTTGGTGTTTCATAGTTTCGTGTTAGGTGTTTATTTTCTCGTCTTCATTAGTGTCCTTTGTCAGTTACCAGTTTTGTACTTGTTATATTTATTTGCATATAGTATATATATTTTTCGCGCGTAATTTATTTGGTTAGTTGTCTAGTTTGCGAAAATTATCGTTACAAATTTAGCTCTGGGTTTCATGTTTTCGTCTTTGGTTTGGTCACATTCGTCTTGTAAGTGTCTTTGTTTATTTCGCTTTGTCGTTTTCCAGTACTTTCACTTTCATGTAAGTTATTTTATGCTCATTCGCGTATTTGTAATTTTGTTATTTTCAGTTACCGTATTCAACAATGTGTCAAGTTTGTTCTAGTAAAGTTTGAAATACGAGTGATTAGCGTTTGCGGCTATAATCAGAGCCTTTTATTTTTTTGAAGAGTCCGTATTCAGCTACATCATCGAAAGAGAAATTTTGATTGTTTTCGTGGAAATGTGTAATTGGGTTGCAGAGAAATCTTGCCAGTGTGTATTTTAGGCGCTTAGAATTCGTTCTAGTAATACAGAAAACCTAAATTTTTGGTACATACGAGCTCCTGCCCATTTGAGTGAGTTACCATATGTACTGTTAAAATTACTGTGCGCTAAGAATTAATTGTGGTAGTACAGAAAGGTTAAATTTTTGGTAGGCAACTAAATCAGGACAATGTTGAGTACAAAAACACACGAGATCAGAGTGAGTTGTTTTGCTTTTCAATCTCTTTTCACAGAAATGACACTCTTCTTAAGGAAAAAGAGGAGGAAATCGCGAAATATACTGAGATGTAAGTTAGTAGACAAAATGTAACTCAACTAGTTTTGTAGATGCCGTGCTCAACCCATGAATGTTAATACAAGAGAAATACACTGTTCAAGGTCCACGCAAAATGACAGTGCACTTTAAGCAAATATTGATTTAAGGCTGGAATTCTTGCCCCAGAGCACTCGTTCTGATGTGTATCTGTGGGGTCACATGATCGCCGTTTCACGTGAGCAGAGCATAATTGAAGGTGGCGTGACATTCTTACTCTGTAGCATTTCTAGGCTTTTGCACACGTTTTTGTTTCTCAACTAACACACATTCAGATTCTCAGATTTGGCTAATCATTGCGAACCTTTCCATTCTGTTAACCTTAGCTGGGTTTTAAGTCGCGTAGAAAGGTATGAGCGTTGTGTGTTAGCCAAACAACTTCATAAAATTCGCTCTCACGCTTGTTTCAGGACCTTTAAGAATAACTTACTTAAATGCAGTGGCCTATAAATACAGGCGTTTAGTGTTTACTTATAAAACTCCCCGGAGAAGTCTATGACAATTCAATAAATCGCGTCGGAAATTAAGGCAAGTTTTACAACAAATATTCGCAGAGTGCTGCTCAGTTGTTTAGCTTTTTTATTATTTTTCAAATGGTGCCACATACTACCCATTTTTCAGAGTAAATGCTAAGAGTGCGATTTCAGTTGGTTTTATTCACAACTGTGCTGTATATGAATAAGCTCTTTTTTTTCTTAGGAATCTGAAACTCAAAGAGGAATTTAAGCAGGAGGAAAAAGAGGCAAAGAAGAAACTTAAAGAGCAAGAGGAAAGGTCAGTTCTAAAATCATGTGATTTTATTATTTTTTTACATTTCACTGTATTTTCATAACGTCTTACTGCTATAAACCGAATTTGAGACAGTACAGGAGTAACGAGTGTAATCTTAACATGCAAAGACCATGAGTATCTACAGAGTTAGAAATGGTGGTAAAAAATTATTAAAAAAAGGTCGAAATACCGCGGAAGCGCGCTGAAAACATCAGAATGGCGCCGAACGGGCAAAATTTTGATTAATCTCGCGCATGCGCAGACAAAATGCCTCTCGTGCGTTATCCACCCCTAGGTGATACTAAACCAGTCAATCACCCGACCAAAGCGTCATCATTCACTTGTTCATTTGGGAAGAAATTTCATTGGGAGGCAAAAGATTAAAGATTGGATTAAAGTCAAAAGATATATCTCAAGCCAACCATCTTAAGCAGCTTGTAACTTTCAAAAATAGAGACTCAGGCACGTTGGACTGGTTTTTTTTACAAATAGACCAAAGTTGTTCAGTGTATCGCAATTGCCCAAAGTTGCATCATCTGATCATTATACCATCTTGGCCAGACCAATAATATCATCCGAACACAAACCGGTCATTAAGAAAATAGAGTCACGCGATATGCGCGATACTGCATGGCGTGCGCTGGGGCGCTGGATGACCGAGAAGGAAAGGTACTCGGTTCTTAATACTGAGTCTTGTGAAGACAAGTTCAGGCTGTTAATGATGGAACTTACTTCTGCTATTGATTCCTTCCTTCCGCGAAAAATAGTTAAGAAACACCCAACTGACCGTCCCTGGAACTTTAAAAAACCGAAATCTTGGATTCGTAAAAGACAATCTGCATTTCTTAGACATGGAAAGGACTCTTCGAATTACAAATTTTGGAGGAACAAGGTCCAGGGTGAGGTAAAAAAAGCTAAAAATCATGATAAAGTTGCTCAAGTGGAATCCACTCATTCCAGTAAGTGGTGGAGGCAAATAAAGTCACTCACAGGCCAAGACATTCAGCAGGAGTGGTACCATCAGTTTCTTGGGGGTACCATGAATACCAAATTACTTGCAAATAAGATTAATGAGTTTTTTGCAAGTCTTATAGACCATTTTACACCTTTGACCCGAGATTCTCCCCCAAGCCTGGTACCAAAGGAACCTTTTTGTTTCCAACGAGGAAATATTCCGATCCCTGTCATCGCTTAATGTTGCGAAAGCTGTGGGACACGACAACATCCCAAATAAACTGCTTTAGGACTTTGTGCACGAGCTAGCTCCTGTCATTTGAAACATCTATAACCAGTCTCTTAAGGAGGGATACATCCCATCTCTTCTAAAATCTTCCATCGTCATCCCAATCCCGAAGGTAAACCCACCAAGAGAAATAAAGAGCGATCTCCGCCCGATATCGCTCACGTGTACACTGGCAAAAGTCATGGAGGGATTCACGTGCAATAAACTACTGCCACTATTGCATGGAAAAATCGACCCGCGACTGTTTGCGCGTAGAGGCCACTCGACAACAGATGCTCTTCTATACATGTTACAAGCCATTTACGAGGCAGTAGATTGTGCTGATCAAGGAGCCCGGGTCTTCTTCGCTGACCTCTCGAAGGCTTTGATCTGATTGACCATAACATCTTAATGACTGAGTTGCGAAAACTAGAGGTTGATCCTGCGCTCATCAGTTGGATTGCGGCGTTCCTAACAGACAGAAAGCAGGCTGTAAGAATAGGTGCAGTACTATCAGATTGGAGACTCCTCAAGGGAGGTGTGCCTCAGGGAACTAAACTAGGAGTGATACTTTTCACAATAATGACAAACAATCTTTTAGCTGATTGGCATTTGAGAGTCAAGTTTGTGGATGACACGTCTGCCATAGAAATACTACCTAGGAACTCTATCAGTCTGCTCAATTCGATTTTATCTGACATTCACAAATTCTCTATGGGTCACAACTTGAGACTAAACCCTATTTAATGTAAAGAGATGTTAATTAACTTTATGTTATATCCTAACTTTACTCTCAGACCATTAGTTGTTAGTAACAACTGCGTAGAACGTGCATCGACTTACAAGATTGTAGGAGTATTTATTGATAGCGGCCCTAGGTGGAATAGTCGTATTGACTACATATATAAAAAAGCTTGCAAGAAGCTTTACTCTTCGTATTCTACGTCGAGCCGGCGTTGACCAAGCTAGCATGTTAAAGGTATATAGAGGCTCTGTTCGATCTCTTCTGGAGTACGCCGTGCCGGTGTGGCAATCCATTCCAGGTTATCTGTCTGACAAAATTGAATCCATACAGAAAAGGACGCTTAAGATAATTTTCTCGTGTGCTGATTGTTACTCAGATGCCCTCGAGTTAGCACGGGTGAAAACTCTTGCGTATAGAAGTAATAATATATGGAAAGAGTATATGTACAAAATGAAGGACTTAAACCACCCTCTTCATCCTCTTCTACCAACACGCCTAGACAATACTTGCCCCTACACCCTAAGGCACAAATCAGACCAGCGGTACTTTTACAGGAACGTTACTACCTGTAGAACGAAGCGCACCGAAGACTTTTTCACTTTTAAGTATTTGAAAGTATTTTTAACAAATGTGATGCATGTTCTGGTGTGGTGTGTATAATTTGTACTTAATATATACAGAAATGTACATAGCTGATCTTATTAAGTTTTCATTGTATTATAAATCATTCATCAAGCAAGTTACTGCAAGAGAGTTTAATAAACTGTTATTATTGTTATTGTTATTAAGATAATACTCCAGTGATGTTGTTTTAGTGGATGAAAATAATATTTATTATGATACAGGCGCAAAATTTTGTAATGAGCATATTGAGTTCAATCTGATGATACCTTTTCCATGAATTCCTTCTCGTTTGGTGTTTTCTTTGACTTTGACTTGTTAAAAATTCTGTTTGCTTATCGTCAGAATTGCGTTACTCGAAGGTGAGCAGGAGAAGAAGGAAAGGCAGATTGTAGAAATAGCGAGAGAAGTAGAGGAAAAGTGAGTGCTTACCAGAAGCTAAACCTTGTTGGCAGGATTTTGAACATTTTGTAAGTTTAGGGTGACTCTGAAGCCCTTTCCAGAAGAGACGAAGTGATGATTTAGGAGTGCGAGCTGATTATTTAGTGCAAGGAAGAATGTTTTGTGATTAAGGGATAGTTTAGCAGTCATTGGTAATTTTTCGGTGTAAATAATTTATCCACAAATGATGATGGTGATTTTTGACAGCCGATAAATATGCCATGTCTTCTTTGATTAAATCGGTATCATCGAGTGATTTTACGTCTAAAATGATCTCTTTAATTGTTTATTATTAGAACTGAAGGCCTGACAAATGAACATCAGAAGGAGGTCGGGAGTTTGTTACGTGAAATACAGACAATGAAAGGAAAGTAAGTCTATATCAACTGCCTGATTGAATCAATAGAATCGGCTTGGAATAAAAAAATTGAGTCTTGATTTTCAGTTTTAGCTTTGTGTTGTGTTAATGTACATTTTTTACACATTAAGATCGATTTTACTTAACCGGTACCTCTAGAGTTGGACAGGGTTCTTGATAACAATTTTCTTCGACGAAGCTGCAGTCATTCACCGCAAAAACCTGATGCGTTTGAGGTCAATTTGCGTTGAGTCTATTTAGAGCGGATCTTACATAAGATTTCACGCCTAAAAACAGAATTTCAATCATTCCTTGACTGATCTTAAAGGTTATTGAAGGAAAGTGACTATATCCAGAAAATGTATGAAGACTACAACAAGAATCTTGCAGATCATAAATCCAGGCTTGAATGCCAAGTTAGATGTTAAAACAATTATTCTTAGTATTTTTCTTGCCATTGGTAAAAGCAGACACAAAGCGAAATGATTATTGTTAAATATTGATCATTTTAAAATATCTATTGCCTCAGAGGCAAATAATCAGAGCCAAGAGTCTGTATTCAGCTAAAACATCGTAAGAGCAATTTTGATTGTTTCCGGGTGGATATATGTAATTAGGTTGAAGAGAAATCTCGCCAGTTTGTATTTTGTGCGCTAAGAATTAATTCTGGTACAGAAAGGTTAAATTTTTGGTGGGCAACTAAATGGGGACAATGATGAGTGCATTTGAGCTTCTGCATATTTGAGAGGATTACTATATCTACCGATAAAATTTACAGAAACATTAAAACGAGATCAGAGTGAGTTGTTCCGCCTGTAAATCTCTTTTCACAGAAATAACACTCTTCTTAAGGAAAAAAAGGAGGAAATCACGAAATATACTAAGATGTAAGTTAATAGACATAATGTAACTCACCTAGTTTTGTAGATTTTGTGCTCACCCCACAAATCTTAATACGAGTAAAAGACTCTGTTCAATGTCCACGCAAAATGAAAGTGCACTTCAAACAAACATTGATTTATTGTTGGAATTCTTGCCCCAGCAGCCCCCGTTCTAATGTGTATCTCTGAGGTCACATGACCGCCATTTCAAGTGAGCAGAGCGTGATTGAAGGTGGCATGACATTCTTACTTTGAAGCATTTCTAGGCTTTTGTACACGTTTTTGTTTCCCCTCTGAAAGACATTCAGATGCTCAGATTAGGCTAATCATTCCGAACCTTTCCTTTTTATTACCCTTAGCAAGGTGTTAAGTCGCGTAGAAAGATATGAGCGTTGTGTGTTAGCCAAAAAATTTCATAAAAATCTCTCTCACGCTTGTTTCAGGACCTTTAAGAATAACTTACAAAAATGCAAGGGCATATAAATTCAGGCGTTTAGTGAAACTTCCCGGAGAGGTCTATGACAATTCGAGAAATCGTGTCGGAAATTATGTCAAATTTTACAACATTCATTCGTTTCGCAGAGTGCTGCTCACTGGTTTAGTTTTATTGGGATTTCTTTAAATGGTGCCACAATACGACCCATTTTTAAGAGTCAATACAAAGAGTGCGATATAAGTTGATTTTAATCATAAGTTTTTTCCTAGGAATCTGAAACTCAAAGAAAAATTGAAGAAAGAGGAAAAAGAAGCAAAGGAGAAAATTAAAGAACGAGAGGAAAGGTAAATTCTCAAATTATATAATTCAAAATTTGTTTACATTTTATTATATTTTTATAACGTCTCACTGCTATGAATTGAATTTGAAACAGTACTGGAGCAACGAGTCTAATCTTAATTGCCAAAAGAGTATGAACGTAATAGACTAAATCCTCCATATTGGCCTTCTTCCAAACTTTTATTCACGTTCTTAACTTGACATACTTTCCGAAATCAGACATATTTATATATATATCTGTTTGGTGTTAATAACCTAGTTAACAATTAATTAGTTAACAGACTTACAATTACTGTGTATGATTGTGATTATGGGTAACTATAACGCTGACCTCTGATCTCTTATCTGACTTTGATTTTGATCAGATTCCTTCAAGGGAACAAATAACAGTTTTCAATACTCTCACAGCAGTTTTGTAGCGCACTAGAAAGCAGCACCCAACTAGTATCCGGGAGTTACGGGTTCGAATCCTGTCTTAACTTAAATTTATTCAGGCCTCGTTTCTTCAATTTCAATAATTGTAGCTCACCCACGAAGAATTTTTATTTACTTGAATAATCTGCGAGCATCACAGTGCACTTCGACTAAAAAGTCATTTCGCAAGGTAGGAGCATTCTACTGAAGCGAACAAGACAGAATGAAACTGATGCCATTCGTTTCGAGTAACACGTGAACATCAAGAAAACGATACCAGTTTAAACTCATGAGACAAAGCCCACGTATTTTTTTTTTTAGATGAATGAACAAGTGAGACCGAAAGCTAAGTAAACAATGAACTGATAGTGGTGAGGGATTGGGGGGCCATGTGATAAATAAGTTTTATCGAAGTTTTTCCTCTAGTTAGCACTTCAAGCCCAAATAGGCAATTATAAAAATTCCCAAAAAGAACACAGCAAAAAATACAGTAGACCCTAACTCAACAACAGTCAATTGATGACAAGTTAGGGTTAATGTTGGATTAGGGTAGGGGTAGGGGTAGGGGTAGGGGTAGGGGTAGGGGTAGGGGTAGGTGGGCAGTTGCCCAGATACTGATATTGATCCTAACATTTTGCCAGAAGCATTTGCACGGTCTAAACTCCATTTTGACTAAGCATATGAAAGAGAGGAGCTGAACTTTTTTTCATTTGTATCAGTACGTCACGGGCTGCAATTGAACAACCTCTCCCATACAAGAATAAGATGGCTTGGAATTACAGTACTCAAGATGATAACGAATGGAATAATTGTATTTTGTTTCGCCTAAGTGTAATAAATTTTGCTTGTTTCGCCGCGTACTCAGTTTTGTTTGTTTTACTCTTGTTTCAGGGAGAAAGAGCTGAAAGAGAAATGCAAAGCCCTTTTGGAAAGTAAAGATGAAGAGTTGAGGGAAATGAAAATGAGGTATTTACGATTTGCGCCCGAGGTATGCATTTATTATTCTGTGGAGTTGGATGGTTACCATTATTCTGGATTTCTCCGTGACTCAAGCTAAAGGTCAAATTCATACCGCAATTCGCTTTTATTTTTTAATATGGGAACGAAGAAGTAGCAAATTAAATTTCTGACATTCTAGATAAATAATCCGTAATTGTATCGCCACATTGGATTCATAATTTCCCACTTCTGGAAACAACAATTGTAGATGTCTGTTTAAATTCTGCTTACAACGCAGAATTCTCATACAGCCTTCAAAGTTTTCTAATAATCGTTATTTGCTCGAATGTAAGTCCTTCTACGTGCGGTCATCAAGTAAAAAAACATGTTAATCAGAGGGAGCAGCAGAAATTGAGCCCACGTGTTTCTGTTTTAGACCAAAAGCTCCTTCTTTTTTAATCCTCCGCTACTATCATGTTGTTTACCATCGGGTTTCCCAAAGATTTTGTGAAGACAAAATTTCTGAGATTTCTGATGAATGCAAAAAATATTTTGTCAAACTAGTGCGACTGAGTGCTGGCTATTTAACAATGTAGAGGCAATGGAAATTGGTTTACTTTTCCGACCTTGCTTTTTCTTTTTCCCAAGACTGGCTCATCCTAGTGAAAAACTGGTGAGAAAGGATCAGAGAAAGGTGGAAGACACGGCGGCAGCAAATAGACCCTCGAAAGTGGAAGAAGACTTCGCTAATTTTTTCGACAACGAGAGAATGGACGCGATAGAAAAAATGCAAGCCGTTTATGGATCTGAGGAAGACAACGACATCGGTATCTCTTACCATCGACTAGCCTGCATGATATTCGAGGTGAGAAAAATCGATAAATATTCATTTTGTTCTCTTTTTTACCACAGCTAGAAAGTTGCAATATTTTTAATATTACTGATTATGGCTGGTTACTGTCGTAACCCTTCAAATCAAACTTCTAGGAACACTTGTGAATTTTTTTTCCTGAAAGGCGGCCTACGAAAAGACGACCGAGGCAAAGGACTCAGCACTTCATGTTTTCAGAGAAGCAATCAATGAAATGATTAACAAAGCTGCGGAACTGGGAGAAGATTACTTGCGTTCGGTAAAGGTATGCAGTAAATTCTTATACTAAAGCTGGCAAAATAAGCTCTATCTCGTTAATCCGGCTGAGATAATAGTTATAACTCATGTTCCTTGTCAGGTTAAATCAATACCTAATTTTTGGTAAATGATAGAGAACCAAATCCAAAATGAATGGTTTTCTGTGCCTTTTTCGAGAACTACCGTCATGGTAAGACATGGTAAGATTGAAACAGTGATCAAGTAGTTTATAAAGTTCGGTGTTATTGTTAAAGTTGTCTTTTGTTCCTAAAAATTTGACCCTTTCATTTCACTACTAAATGAGTTTCACGGAAGTCTTGTAAGGCTATTGTGCAAGAATCTGATAATAAATAATTACATCGTATGAACTGCTCGTGCGTTTCGTACTTTCGTTTTGTACTTCAAAAGGATCATCCTTTTCGTATCACTGGACTCTACAAAACGTTATCGGGTTTTCTTCCATTTAAAGTAATAAAGATGAACAGTGCTTGCTTTGTCCCTTTATAACAGAGATAATCGCGGGACAAGTATCGAAAGAGACGCGGTTAGTGCTCAATAACTGTCCGGTGATTTTGCACCACGCGACGTAAAGTAGCCAATAGAATCGCACGCAAATTAAAGCATGGGTTATCAAGAACCATAACCAACGTATATAACCAAGTGTAACAAAATATTTTGCTCGAGCTTTAAAATTTCCAGTTTAATTCTCGTCTTTTTTACTCTGTCATGTGTTAATGAAGTTCAAGCTATCGTCACATAAAGTCAGTTTGAAGATACCAATGTACAGCCAGGAATTGAAGTACCCGACCGAGGTTCTAGATACTCTCTTGCTTTCCTTGAAAGAAACTGCGCCCCTCTGCAGCCTTGAGTTCATGAAAGAGGTATGTTACAAATGGCTATATAGTAAACTGCTTTGAATTCCCATTCGATTCTTATAAAGCCTCCTATCATCTTATACAGCTCATATCGTACAAAAAGGGAAAGTCCCTTAAAGACATGCTTGTGAGATCAAAAATATGATTGGAAGGCGATAATCCCACGTGACCACAAAGCCAAATGTGGAGTCCGTGTCAGTCTGTCTTTACCCTTATTTTTATGCCGATATCATTTGGATACCTAGCATATCAGCTGGTGATCAAATTCGCTGCGATCGGCGAATAAAATCGCCAAGTGCAGTGTCACCAGTTTAACTAACTTCGTATTCTTGGTCCGCACTGTAAGTTACGAAACCTCGTTTTTGCTGCCCTAAGTAGATTTGAATGGAAAAAAAAACTCTATTCCTAACTTACTGTACTGACCTCGAACTTGGTTAGTAAGAAGTAGTTTCTCTTTACACTTGTCTGGTCCGTTTCGTTAAGCTTGCAATGAGGTCTTAGACCCTCTAAAATACCTTAAAAATGACCTCAAACCAGCTTTTTAAATTGGTGAGAGCTGGCCACCCCGGGTGAGAATCCAAATCACCGCCTGTGTCCCAATTCTGTTCGGCCAGGGAGCTCTTAGCAAGTTCAATAGAACTGAAACTTAAAATTAAAAGTGCAAACGAACCAGAATGTGTGATCAATGAAAGAAATTGCCGAAAGAAAGAAAGAAAATTGTAACGAGGCATTTATTAATGGGCATTGATGAAGATGGCGAGTTGAATATTTATGCTAATCTTACAAAGTCGAGTATGATGGAAAATTAGGCGGCCATGGTGTATACTGACTTATAAAAGACAAATACGAAACGAACATTGCTGTTAGGTAGAATGACTAACCTGGGTTGGATTTTGTGTCAGTGTTTAAATGAAGGAATTGAAAAAATCTTAGCCTTTTCAGCCACTTCAACTCGAGTGTCTATAATGGTTACCTGACAATGGAGTTGATTCGACTTAACTACGTTTTCTCACCTAAACACTCGAAACATTGGATTGCGAAAGGGTTACCCTTGTTAGTGTGACTAATAATCGTCTTGAGTTCGTGAGGTCCTCTTCGCATATACGAATCAGAGTCGATTTGTAGCCCGCGTAAAACACCACAAAGAGTACTTAGGAGATAACACTTTACACGTTATTGCGTGGTTAAGGCCTCATACAGCGAGCTTTCGTGGACCAATGGTTAGGAAATGCTTGCAGAGTACATCAAGAGAATATCCTATGAGCAGTTTTTCTGTTATATGTAAGAAAGATCACACTATGATCCTGTTCTCTTTTAACTTTTAATTTTGAAGAACATGTATTCCCAAACAAACAAAGTTGACCTCTTTAGGCTATTTGGCCAGTGTACACCAGGTTTCACTTGTAATTGGCACAATATTGCGTCTTTTTCAGGATGTTCAGAAAAGAGTCATAGAAAAGTGGACATCATGGCTCGCCAGCGAAAAATCATGTAAATTCTCTTTCTCCGATCATTTGCTGTTTCAACTCAAGGACTACATTAAGGCGTGCATCCTGCTAACTTGGCGTATGGTCGTCCAGGTTCCACCCATGCAACTGGAGTATAAGTGTACCACTTTAAAAAATTTCCATATGAAGGTGGGATACCATAGTAGTCCAGAGATGTGTTCGAGGCCCCCTCCAAATGGACAAGGCGCCGCCGATGATGAGATTGCTTGTTATTTGTGGCCAGCACTCTTAGACGGAAGAGGACGAATCATCCGACGTGGAGAAGTCCTTTGTAAAGTGAAAGCCGAAGCGGTATAGAAACTGAGTTGAAATTGGTGTAACAAGGATAAATAATTGACACTGAATGGCGGAAAAATGACGAGGCTTCTAACCCTCCAAATATTAATCGAATAGTACAAATACAGCGCTGTCCCTTATTCGAAATTGTTTTGAAATGTTGATAAAAGTCTTTTTTACTTAATTTTTTTTCACTTGAAATATCAAGTAAAGCTCCTCTGAACGATGAACACATGATATCTTTGATGGTAAATGTAACTCTAATAAAGATACCTAACTTTGCCCTTACCTCTTTCAGGAAGAATTTGCTTAAAAACGTAGCAGGATTCAATATATCATTCTAGATCTAACGCAGGAAGTGTAGGAGCTGTTTTCTTACAGGTTATTACAAGAATGAAGAGTTATAATAATTGAAGCACAAAATTCGATATTTCTTTTGTTTTTGAAATAGCCCAGTCCTCTACGTGAACAAGTGTGGACTTTTATTTTAGCAGAAAAGAAATAATTTATATCCAATTTATCAGCCTCAATTGAAGGCCAATAGATTAGCCGTTTACTCTTGCCCAATACTGAGGCTTTATGGGGAATTACCTGTGGAAAGAGGGCTGAATTTACGGACAAATTTAACTAAGTGCATTCTCGGGAGGAATTTCGGAAAGAAATTTGTAGAATTTTGTTCTAATTGCTGCTTTCTCTTGTTTCCTTTGAGAAAAGTGCCATATCTTTGGCTTTTTCAAATCAAACTGATTAAAGTTCCTTTAAATTGAAACCTGTTCAATACTTGATTATAAAACAAAATAATTGTGATTCAAATGCATCTTCAGATCATAATAAGAATATCAGCGCACGTCTAAATTCCCTGACACCACCGTAGCCGTGCGTGACAACAACAGAAAAAACTTAACATTGCTACCACGTGCTCACTGGAGGCCACACGGCTTGATAATTGAATAAGACCTGTACAACGACCGGAGATGTGTATATAAAAAAGTAGTCTACGAAAAACAGAACCCAGGCCTGGGCGAGGACCAACAAGCATCCATATAGGACGAAGAATAAAACCCACCGCGCTCGTAGCGGTACAAATGGAGGAAAAAATCCCGGCCCAATGGATAGAAACCTCCCGACCTCGGTCTTAAAATACAAAACTTGTCAATCAGATTCCTAAAGATTGTGACAGTAATTAACGAGAATTTAAATTTTCTTTGACATAGCAATCCTCAGCGTTTTTGCTGGCCCAACGACCGTGTCACTTCAAACGCCGATCGGGAACTCCAGCATTAGCTGCAGAGCTGTCTCCTTTAACTCCAAGGCTATGGATAATAATTTAAGAAACGTCTATGAGTCCTCTGAAAGCATCTTTAATGATAATTGTTCTGACTCTTGAGCGACTAATCCCCTGGCTCCGTACTTCCTGTTTGGAACGAGTAGTAGCAAGTGCTCTAAACAATGGTAAAATTTCAATGAGGTCAGTTTGTGAAGCTGATGTGTTGTCCTCCATAGTCTTAACAGGACAAGCCTTGCGATAATGATGCACAACCCACCTCGGAGTTAGTCCGTCTTGGAAGATTCTCTAAGAAAATAGAAACGTACGAGGGGAAAACTTTAGATCGCAGGCATGAGTCACTAAAACGGAAAAAACCGCGAACCAATTAGGCTGAGAGCGACTGGTCTGAGATCAGAAAGGGACGGAAACTTATCTATTATCTTTGATTCCTCGAGCGCTTGTAAGGCTCTCAGGAGTCACGAGATCTTTTATGACCTTTGGCCCACAAAAAATTATCTGTGATGCATTAGCCATGGAAGAAACCAGAGGGTGTGTAGATATTTTTGATAAGCCGCCCATCTATGATAATATAATTTGGTTAATGCTCGCAAGAAATAGGAGAACAAAGAGTACCAAGAGGAAGTATAAATAGCTTTCCTATTGGGAGTTTTAGGACAAAACGGCTTTCAAAAAGGATTTCCCGTTCTGACTGTTGAGGTAAAAGAAATGCAAAAGAAATGCAACTTACAATTGTTTAATATTACACTTTGTTACAAGAAAGCGTCAAAACTGGACTTTCTATGAAATCAAAAATTTGTTATTAGTGGATATCTTGACACTTTTCCGGTCCTATGTAATAGAAGAATTGTACCAGTCTAGTATTTCAGTTATATAACGAAGTTCAAAGATGTTTCAGAATGTCAGGTTTAGCTTCGATACTGGAGTTGTTCATGATGGACTCCATACACACGGAGACTAAAGTAGAGGTTTACAAAATTTTAGGGATAAATCAGTTCTACTTGATCCAATGATAACATACGAAGATATTTTCCTTGAAACACAGACAGGTTTATCACACACATTTACTTGTGGACTTCATTTCTTCGCATGTGATTTTCGGTGATTTTTAATCCTTATTGCACAGGAAGTCAAGATATACCGTGGCAGTGTTCCCACTGCTCTTGTCTATTGCAGTGGCCTTAATCTCAGTTCCGCCAAACTCTATCGCCAAGTCAATCATTCGGTTGGTTCCTTTTGTAACGTCAGGTGATTTTACGACAACCTCCCCAATGGATTTGCTAACTGAAGCGTCTGTTAAGTATTTGGCGTCAGGATTGGTCGAGGTGAAAAAACTGAAACTAACTGCTGTTTGACTTCCTTTCAATGGGCTGTAATCAGCGAAGACTTTCTTTTCACCTGTCCTCACAACGTCATTCTCTCTAACAAGAACCACAAAGCAATCTTTACAGTAGGCTACGCCGTCAACAAAGTGCTGCTTGTCAATTGGGTGAAGACTGGGATCAAACGGCTGGTATATATCGAAGCCGTAAGTCGTAGACATTATTCTGGAGTCGACAATGTCAGGTGTTTGGCCAAACATAACTGCACCTTGAACAACTGCAATGCCAGCGTTGCTTGGAACTAAAATTCTGCATCTGTGATTAGAGAAAAAATATCAAAGATGACAGTCATTTTTCATGTCATGTTTACATGAGAGGTCAATTCCAATTTAACCACGCCACTTATCTCTTTTGGTTACAAAAGTACCCTTTCGATTTGATGAATTTTAGGATAACTTGCAACTACGTACTTTGACCACGACCCTTCGCGCCGAAAAACTTCGAAACACATCTCGGTGCGTTTGGTTCTGATAATGCGACCTAGGTTAAGATTCTCCTGTCCAAAACTTCAAGCCGTTCACACGTTTACGTTAACTTTACCTTACCTTCGCTGAAAGTTTTTCTTTATTGCATCCTGAAGTATCGCTGACTCGGCGAAACCTCCAACAAGGAAGAAAAATTGCAGTCCACGGAGCTCACGATGCTCAAGAAGATTGCTCAGGTGCTTCACTATTCCTTTCAGAACCGGTTCAAACAATTTTTTCATGGTCGCTGGTCCTATACAGAAGTACTCATTTCTGACGAATTGGACATCGTCAGTTGTACAGGAACTTGCAAATCGTCTCACCAGATCAGGCCCACCTTGCTCTGAAACCAGTGCTGTAAAAGTACGAGGAAGGCGAATTCTGGTTGTTTCACCCTCGTAAGCTCGGCGCCCTCGCTTCTTCATCTCAAATTCATTCATCATCTCAAGCCATTCTGCTGGGTGGTTTTCACGGAAGTTTTTCACTTGATAAGTTCCAAAAAACCTCTCAAGTAGGGACACGAACTCCTCGTCAACTTTAGTTCCACCATAAGGTCCTCCGGTCACCTGATGGATTTCTTTAATGTTTCCATTCATTAAGATTTCATGAGCTGTGACGTCAAGAGTCCCGCCTTTATCAAAGATTAACAGATATAACACCAGTTAATTAACAGCTTCAGCCCCTACATTCATATTGCATGAGTCAAACATAAAATGCATTACGAGCTCGATCGATCACATTTAGTATATTTGGGCTGATAATGCTTGATGCTGATGGAGCCCATTAAAGCTAAAACAGCTGTCCATGGCTGTTTGCTTCTTTCTATTTTTGATAGTAAAGACCTTGTGTCATTAACATTATCGCCTACCTGGGAATTCAACAGCCTTTTACATTATTGACTATAAAATGATCCGTTCTTAGCCGACGAATTTTTCAAATTTATTAAAAATTTCAGCGTCGTTTTCATTTGACTCCGTTTGAGAAAGAAGGTTATCACCACAAGCTATGAGCCTATTCACTTTGGTCAGTATCAAATGAGTTACGACGATGTCCTACCACTCCACTCAGTTCAATTACCATTACAAGTTTGCCACATATTGCGAAAAATTACCTTGGGTCTTTACAAAAAAATGGATGTTTTTAAATGATTTAGAGGAGACACTACTGTTTCTCCATTAAAAATAAGAAAAGGTTTTGATATTTTATAGTGTGACATCGTCAAAACGGTCCATTTTTCTGAAAGTTCAATCTTGCCTCCGATATCAATAACAAGATATTTTGACCCAGGTCGAGCAAAGACGTCAGATGCAGTGGCATCCCCTTTCTCATTGGCGAATTCTCTCATCTTCATTTCTCTGCAGTGTATAGAGGCTGCTTCTGGTTCCAAGGCGATAAGCAGCTGTTCAGGGTTCTTATTTAATACCATCTCCGCCTTGCAAAGTAGAAGAAAAAAGGAACAGTTATTGAAGACAAAAAAAGTTTCGTTAAGAAAACACTGATTAATCTCAAACTTAAATTTCTCGATTTTTGCGAACACCTCCAAGGAGAAAAAACAAAACTTTCACATTCGTGATAAAGCATTCATGTTTACTAACTGACAGCATCAGACTAACCTGTATTCTAGCTCGTCCTGTATTTTCCTTTTCTTGTTTCATTTTCACCTCTTAACTCATCGTACTTAACTCATTGTGAGGGGGTGAAACAAACAGATGTAACTTCTCTACAATTACCTTACGTGCAGCTTCTCTCATAAATTGCTTGGCAGCGGGTCTCCAAATGGCAGGCACTGTTATGACCCACCGAATGTCCTTTTCATTATAGTTTTCGTCTCCAGTTCTCTCGCGAATAATTTCGATAGCTCGATCTTTGAGATACCTCAACGAGTGGGCAAAAACAACCAAAGCGTCAATACTTTTTCCATTTCGGGCCGTCAGCTTTGTATTTCTGTCTAATGTCTGTAATAGGAGAAGATAAATTTATAAAGATTATGCCTAATACTTTTGATGCGAATTATCCTAAGTGGAGAACTTATACAAAACCCGTACTATCTAGTTTAGTCTTGAGGACGCTGAGAGACCTTCAGTTTTTCATGCAATTTTCATTTAATATGAATTAACAAATTTTGCGATCTGTTTTTACTGATCAAACTCAGATGTAGATGTCGCCTAAAGATTACAGATCTATTGAAATCATGAGTATTGTTAACTTGGTTTGTTATGACCATTTTGCAATGAGGTACTATTATTTTCAGTCATTGCTTTCAATTTTTTTTCTCCGATTTGATCGCTCGGGCTCCTCTTCGACAACCGCTTATTCCCTTGATTATTTTTATGGTGTTTTTCGAAATCAGCAGTAATTTAACCTTTTACTTCCTTCTATGACTATTTGTTGTGAATTAGTTTTATAGGTGTTTCGAGTTGATTTCAAGATTAGAGTTAATGATAGACAGTCCGTCTACGGAAGTTTCGCTCCAGGCATGGCAAAAAAATAGGAAGAAAAAAAAATGACGAATGAATGAACTGTACCTCTGACTTGTGTAGTGCCATTTTGAAATGTTTGAAATAAAGATAATCTCGATCTTCACCATCAAAGAAGTTGGCGTACTTTTCTTCC